TTTGTAGCCTTGGGCCAACATTTCCCCATTTTCCTTGCCCCTCCACCTCCCACCAGACCCTGGCAACCACCATTCTATACTGTGCTTCTCTGAGTTTGACTTTTTTAGATTCCGTATATAAGTGAGAATGCAGGGCTTTTTCCCTTTCTGTGACTGGTTTATTTCACTTAACATAACATCCTCTAGGTTCATCCATGTTGTCTCAAATGGCAGGATTTCCTTCCTTTTTTATGATTGAATTCTCTTCCATAATAATATATATATAATATTCCATTATATATCATATTTCCTTTATCCATTCATCTATTGACAGGCACTTAGGTTGTTTCCCGAGGTTGGCTACGCTACAGTGAACGTGAGACTGCATATCTCTTTGAGATACTGATTTCATTTCCTTTGGATGTATACCCAGAAATGGGGTTGCTGGATCCACTATAAATATTCATTAATACACTTTGCATATCAGATGCATAGCTTATGGTTTTCAATTTTTTTCAAATATATCTAATATTTTCCTTGTGATTATTTGGCAACTGTAAAGCTCTCTCTTATTAGTGGTTTTGGTCCATGAAATTGAATTACGTCCAATTTTTATCTTAAAGGGAGAAATCAATACGATAAGGTTGAAAATGAGACATCTACCTGAAAAATATAAGGATAGTGATGACAGAGTCAAAATAGGAAGACTCAGAAGTCAGAAACCAAAAAAGTCAAGATGTAGCTGATTATAGCAGTGAAGGAAGCAAACTTAGAGAATTTTCAAGGATGCATGTCAAGACACATAGATAGGTTAGTTCTTTACCTGCATCAGATACTACTTGCATGTGCATTTCAGGTCTATTTAGTCAGAAAAGAGCACATATCTCCAATATTTTGAAAATTATATTAAGAACTAATAACTCTAAGTACTGAAACCACAGACATTTTGGCTTACAACTGCCACTGTCACTTAAGTGATTCCGAGCAAGTTATTCTTTGAACTTTGGTGTCCTCATCCATAAAGTGTAGATTAGAATATCATGTGCTTCCTCAAGTTGTTCTAAGCCTGGAACAAGATAATGACGATAAGAGTCTTATGTGCAGTGCCTACCTGAAGTAAACGTTCAATAATTATTTGTGTTGTTTTTATACTCCATCCAGAAGGCTTTCTTTTAGAGCCCCATCAATACGTTTTTTTCCTGACTTAATTCTCCACCTCACTTAGAGCTCTTGCTAGATCTCATCAATGATATGCCATCAGCAGCCCTGATGACCATTCTCCTTTGTCATTCCACCGTAAGTATTATGCTGACTTTCCCCCGTGGGACATTGTTAAAGAAACATCACATGGTCATACCAACCAGCAAGGTGTGAGAGGCCATATATGTTCATTGGAGGGCATGTTAAAGATTATTTATGCAAAAGGATATCTTGGCTAAGATTGAACTCAAGAGATTTTAAATTTCTGAAGAGTAAATTTAAGCAAATCTTTTCACTGAATGTAGCATTATAATAAGTTTTGGTCTTCTAAAGATGTAGACAATTACCTAGACAAACCATTCCTTTGTTTTTAGAAAATCAACAGGTGAGCCCTTTAACTATATCAATTTAGGGCAAGTCCTTTGTTCTTGACAAAATTGTGGTGCCCTGTGGGCTGGAATCAAGTGTTGTGGTTTGATCAGTCATTATGCAAGGTAGAATCAGAGTTGGATCTGTGAGAATATGGACTTCATTTCTATTATTATTATTATTATTATTGATTGACTTGTTTCTCTGACATTTTGTTTTTTTTGTTTGTTATGAGTCTCGAGGATTACTTCTAAGAGAGGAAGCGCAGAAGAGAGAAGCAGCTTCCCTGAAAGACTTAGCATGAACAGAAAGCTCCAAGCCCCAGAAGGTATCATAGTGAGGAGAGACATCTCCTGAAATCCATATGGAACTAATCAATGCTTGGTTCCCTTGGAGAGCACCAGCTATGAGAACATGGCTATGATGCCACATACTCATCAGCCACAGCAAGAGGACGTCTTTCTCAGCTGACTTGGATGGTAGTGATTGTTAGCCCAGGAAGCTAAAACAAGAAAGGAAGAATATAAAGACGTCACACTGGGAGTGTGAGCACTTGGGAGGCTCCCTTTGGAGACTGCCAGACATAATTGCAAGATACTTGGATGCTGAGGTCTTGTTAACATACTGTGGGAGGCATCGTAATTTGGGCATTAAAATAAAAGAACCTTGAGATACCACCTCACGTGGGTCAAAGTAGCTAAAATGAACAAATCAGGAGACTATAGATGCTGGTGAGGATGTGGAGAAATTGGCCACCCTCCTACACTGTTGATGGGAATGTAAGCTGATGCAGCCACTCTGGAAAACAGTGTGGAGGTTCCGCAAAAAATTAACAATAGAACTCCCCTATGACCCAGCAACAGCACTCCTAGGAATTTACCCAAGGGACACAGGAGTGCTGATGCACAGGGGCACATGGACCCCAATGTTCATAGCAGCACTTTCAATAATAGCCAACTCACGGAAAGAGCCTAAATGTCCATCAACCGATGAATGGATCAAGAAGATGTGGTTCATCTATACGATGGAATGCTACATGGCAATGAGAAAGAATGAAATCTGGCCATGTGTAGCAACGTGGATGCAACTTGAGGGTGTTATGCTGAGCAAAATAAGTCAGGACGAGAAGGACAGATACCATCTGTTTTCACTTATAAGCAGAACAAGAGAAACTTAACAGAGGACCATGGGGGAGGACAAGGGGAGAAAATAGTTGGGGAGAGGGAGGGAGGCAAACCATGAGAGATTATTGAATACTGAGAACAAACTGAGGGCTGATGTGGCTGGGATAAGGGAAGCGGGGGGATGGGCATGGAGGAGGGCACTTGTTGGGATGAGCACTGGGTGTTATATGGAAACCAACTTGACAAACTATTTTTAAAAAAGAATAAATAAATAAATAAAAATAAAAGAACCTTAAATTTGTATACAAAGACTGATGAGGATTTCTCCCAATCTCCTTGCACTACCATTTTTTTTATTGGATACAAACTCTTCAAGTGTCTTGAACAAGATTACCCAGGAAGAGACAGTGACTTATGCCCCAATATTTTAAACTATAGGAAGTTATAATAATACCAACTAAGAAAGTAAAACAAAGCAAAAATCTTCTCTACTGTTCATTAGTCCAGAATCAGAACTATAGATAAAGCCAAGTGCTAATTTATCAGAAAACAGCATTTCTCCCTAATACATGCTACAGCCATAAAGTATCATAAGAGCCCAAGTCTTGTAGTATCTAGTGACTTCTTACTGAGAAATCTTTTTCTCTAAAAATCAGAGACTATCAGAAACACTTTGGTTTGAAATGATTTCAGTAGTAATAAAACATCCCACTCTTGTCTGGAAAAGTTCAGCTGTGACACAGAGAACCAGCCATGATTTAGAGGCCACGTACAGAGCTTCAGACAGTGAGTCTCTGCAAATAACACTTGACATTTATTTCAACTTTCTTTCCAAGAAAGGTCCACTTTAGGGGCACCTGGGTGGCTCAGTCAGTTAAGTGTCCAACTCTTGATCTCAACTCAGGTCTTGATCTCAGGGCTGTGAGTTCAAGCCCTAAACCCCAACTTGGGCTCCACGCTGAGCATGAAGCCTACTTTAAAAAGGTCCTTAAAAAAAAAAAAAGGTCCATGTCACATTCCAGAACTGATATTGGCCCCTTTATGTACAACCCATCAAAACACTTGCATTTACACTGAAACTAAACTTCAATCTTTGGTAAAATCCTTAGTTGTTTTTCCTTCCTTTGCTGAAACACCCCACAATTCCTTTGGTGTGCTGCCCCCAACATCTCAATGAGTCAGTAAACCTGGCTTATTTAGTGTACAGCTTTGTTGCACATGATCTGGGGAAAAGAACATATCTCACATTGTAGAGTTTCCCTTAAGCACATGGAGTTATCTGTATTTTATCCTATTCCATAAGCAGAAGTAAAGAAAACAATATAACTGCAAAACAAAATTTGTTTATAGATAAAAAGTTTCCATATTATAAACATAAAAAGTTCTTGAGACTAAAGAAGAAAAAATCACTGACTTTAAAATGAAAAACAGGGGTGCCTGGGTGGCTTAGTCGGTTAAGCGTCCGACTTTCGCTTAGGTCATGATCTCGCGGTTTGTGGGTTCGAGCCCCGCATCAGGCTCTGTGCTGACTGCCAGCTCAGAGCCTGGAGCCTGTTTCAGTCTGACTCCCTCTCTCTCTGACCCTCCCCTGCTCACGCTGTCTCTCTCTCTCTCTCCTAGAAATAAATAAAACATTTAAAAAAATAAAATAAAATGAAAAACAAAAAAAAGCCAGAATTGGTTTCCTTTCACTTTACTAAAATGTGGGCTGCTGCCTCTTTGAATACAACAGTGGTCAAAAAGAGGGGGTTTTCTCCTTATTAATATGATGAAGCAAGTAATATTACAATGACCACCGCTTCCCTTGAGAGATACTGAAAAACTTGAAATATGAACCTCAAAAACTCCTTACCCAGTCCTTATTCTTGACCTATGACCTTGCTTTCTATCTCACTGAGAAGCAGAAAAAACAAAAAGCCAGAAGAGAATGTGCTCAAACTCCCACCACTTCTCACCCTTCTGCAACTGCACCGATACACTGTTCCTATGGATGACCTCTCCGTGCACCTAACAAGAGCTATGGCCTCTGCTTTTGTGCTAGATCCCACGTGCTCGTGCCCAGGCAAGGGCATTGTTCCAGTAATTCTCTTCCTGTTTTCCCTGGCAGTCAGCATCCAAGTCAGCCCCCCGTGATCCTCAGCTCTTGGTATCCATGTCTCCTCTCTCACTGAATCAGGGATGAACTGTGTGACCCATAGAACACTGCAGAAACAACGGTGTGTGACTTCAGAAGCTAGGTCACAAAGGACAATGACACGTCCACCTTTTTAAATTTCTCACACTGGGGAAAACTGCACCATGTCATGAGATCATTCGAGCAGTCCCATGTGAAGCCCATGTGTAGAGGAACTGAGGTCTTCTACCATCAGCTGGACCCAACTTGACAGTCATGTGAGTAAAGCAACTTGGACGTAGAGCCTCTAGGCTACACGGATGACTACATTGTCAGATGACTGGAACCTCAGCCAACATCTGACAGCAACTTTATGAGACATTCGGTGAGAGTCTGTCCAAGATGCTCTTGAATTCTTGACTCACAGAAGCTGTGAGATATAAGTTTTATGTAAGCTACTGCATTTGGGATAATCTGTTATGCAACAATGGATAACTAATACATCTCCTGTGATCAAAATACTTCAGTGGCTCCCAATTTTCCTGAAAGAAAGCCAAAGTCCTCCTGATGACTTCCATCCTGTTCACCACTGCTACCTAACTTCATCTCCTAACACTTCCCTCTCCATCTTGGTCCCACCTATGGTGACCTCTTTGCCATTCCTCAAATATGCCTCGAGGCCTATACTCACCAGTCCCTCTCCCCTCTCCCACCTTATTCATGCCTTTATTCAAATGTCTCTCTCTGAGTGAGGCCTTTTCTGACTACCCTTCTAAAAATACATCTTCCCTACATACACCTACACTCACACACATTCTCCATTATTTCTTCCACCTTTGTTTTTCTTATTTCCCCTAGCATATATTACTGTTTAATATACTATATATATCGCTTATTATCTGGCTCCCCTTTTAAGGTGAAACCTTACTTGATGCAGAGATTTTCATCTACTTCCAATCTTTAGAGCAGTGTTGGATTTATTATAATACATACTTCATAAAGATTTGTCCAGTAAGCATATGAATGTTAAGGATGTAAAAAAAATTCAATTAGTAGTAACAGTAAAATGCTTCAAACACAGACCTTTTGTGACCCACTCCACGTTATAAAGCTGCTTCTAAATTTGATGTTACTAAAGGCTTTCCTCTCCTGAATAATTGTTTTACAAAAATAGCAGTTAAACGGAAAACTATCCTAACCAACTGTTTGCCTTTTTCTTTGTGAAACTCAGACCAAAATTGAAATTAAATTATAAGAATTATATGAGTCCTTAGGATCTGTACCTTTTATTTTGTTTTATCTTGATATCTTTCCTCTTTAAGCTCCTTGTTCTGTTTTTTAAGTATTTATTTATTTTGAGACAGAGAGAGTGCACGTGCACAAGTGGAGGAGGGGCAGAGAGAGAAGGTGGGGAGAGGAGCCAAGCAGCCTCTAAGTGCATAATTACATTATCTGATGAATCATCAGGTTTTTTATGCCTTCGCACAATTTGTAATTTCTCTTTATAGAGAGAGATCCTCAAAATGGGGAGCAGAAGTGCATACCTATAAGGTGTAAGCCTCCAAGATCATCAGCAAACAGGGGAAGGAGAGAAAATAACAGATTTTTTAACATCTTATATCCATACATATCCCAAAGGGTCATAAAATGATAAACATGAGTTTAAAGATTACACATGGGAAACATTGGTTTTGATTCTATAGAAAAGAATAAATAGTACTTGACAGTAAAAGCCTCACTTTATAAATACTTCTCATATTTAGTGAATGGTTGTAAAAGATTAACAAATAGTGTGTGTGTGTGTGTGTATACATATATGTACACACATACATATCACTGTATTTTAAATTTGATGTAGTTGGTATGCTTCACCTGACTGAGAGAAGAGTGTAAGTGCTATAAAATAATCACAAACACAAAATAATAATATTTTCATAGATTTATTATTTTTGGAACAGTTTTAGATAACAGAAAAAATAAGCAGGTAGGACAGAGTATCCATATATGGCCTCTCTCCCCCCTCACATTTCGCCTATATTAACATGTTCATTGGTGTGTATCATTGCATATTAATGATGTGTTGCATCTTTACAATTGATGAGCCCATATTGATAATTTACTATGAACTAAATTCCAGAGCTTATATTAGGGTTTAGTCTCTAGGTTGCACAGTTCTGTGGATTCTGGCAAATGTCATATACCCATCATTAGAGTGTCATACAGAATAGTTTTGTTGCCCTTACAATCCCTGTGTTTCACATACTCATCCACCCCTTCTCTCCTTGAACTCTTTGCAAACACAGGCCTTTTCACTGTCTCCATAGTCTTGCTTTACCCTGAATGTCATAGAGTTGAAACCATATAGTATGCAGCTTTTTCCCATTAGCTTTTCTCACTGAGCAGTACACATTTAAAATTCATCCATGTCTTTTTGTAATTTGATAGTTCACTTCTTTTTATTTTTAGATAATATTCCACTCTATGATGTACTATGATTTGTCTATCCATTCACCTATTAAGAGACCTCTTGGATGCTTCTAGTGTTTAGCAATTATGGATAAAGCTGCTATAAACATTTATGTAGACCCAAGTTTTAAGTGATTTCGGTAAATACCTAGAACATGATGGCTAGATAATATGGTCAGACTATATTTAGTTTTGAAAGAAATTGCTAAAGTGTCTTCCAAAGGAACCATATACCATTTTGCAGTCCCACCCACCATGAATGAGGGTTCTAGTTGCTCCACAGCCTTACCATCAATTCACTTTGTCAGTCTTGGATTTTAGCTATTCTAGTGGGTGTACAATGGTTTTAAACTGCAATTTATTTTGCACTTGTTGTTTTAATTTTCAATTGACTAATGATATATTACTTTGAGCATCTCTTTGTATGATTATTTGCCATTTTTATAATTTCTTTACTGAGACCTGTTCTGATCATTAGTCCACTTTTCAACTTGTGTTGTTGACTTTTAAGGATCTTAAATATTTTTAGATGGAAGTTGTTCATTAGATATGTATTTTCCAAATATTTCTCCCATATGAGGGCTGTCTTTTCATTTTTTAATGTCTTACAGAGCAGTTCTTTCATTTTAATAAGTCTAATTTATCAGTTGTATACTTTATTGATTGTGCTTTTAGGGTTGTTTATGAAAGCTCATCACCAAACCCAAGTTCACTTAGATTTCGTACTATGTTGTCTTCTACAAACTTTTAAGTTCTGTGCCTCACATTTAGGTGTATGGTACATATTAAGTTGTGAGAAGTGTAACGCCTGCATCTAGCATTGTTTTGCACATGGATGTCCAATTCTTTCAGCACCATTTGTTGAAAACCCTATACTCTGTCCACTGAAATGCCTTTGCTCCTTTGCCAAGGAACAGATGATTGTATGTGTTTGAATCTGTTTCTGGACTCTCTTTTCTATTCCACTGATCCATGTGTCTATTATTTTACCGATACCACATTGTCTTCATTGCAGTACTGGATAATAAGCCTTGAAGTTGGGCAGTGTCATTTCTCCAACTTTGTTCTTCTTCAGTATTGTGTTTGTTAGCCTGGGTATTTTGACTTTCCAGATAAACTTTAAAATCGATTTGTCAACATTCACAAAATAATTTGCTAGGATTTTGATTGGGATTGCATTGAATCAAGACCCACTTGGGAAGATGTGACATCTTAACATTACTAAGTCTCCTGCTCATGAACATGATATCTCTCCATTTATTTAGTTCTTTGATTTCATTCACCAGAATTTTGTTCTAGTTTCTTGCCATTAAATATGTTTGATGTAGGTTTTGGTAGATGTTCTTTATCAAGTTGAGGAACTTCCTTCTCTATTCCTAGTTTGCTAAGTATTTTTATTATGAATGGGTACTGGATTTTGTCAAATGTTTTTGCTGTACCTATTGATAGGATCCCATGACGTTCTTGTCAAGATGTTGATATGATAGATTACAGAGACTGATTTTTGATTGTTCAACCAGTTTTACATACCTGGGATAAATCCAACTTGGTCATGGCATATAATTCTTTTTATACATTGTTGACTTATATTTGCTAATATTTTGTTGAAGGCTTTTGCATCTATGTTCATGAGACAATTTGGTCAGTAATTTTCTTCTCTTCTAATGTCCTTCTAATTTTCTTTTAATTTTCCTAATATCTGATTTTAGTATAAAGACAAGGCTGGTCTCAGAATAAGTTAGGAGGTGTTTCTGTTGCTGTTTTCTGGAAAACATTGTAGATCATTAGTACAAGTTCTTGTTTAAATGTTTGATTCAAGGGTGAACTTTCCTAGGCCTGATGCTTTCTGTTTACAAGGCTACTAATTATTGATACAATTTCTCTAATAGATACAGGCTTATTCAGATTATCTATTTCTCTTCAAGGGAGTTTTGGCAGATTGTGTCTTTCAAGGAATTGGTCTGTTTCATCTAGGTTATCAAATATGTGGGCATGAAGTTGTTCATAATGTTCCTTATCTGGTAACATCCAGAAGATCAGTAGTGATGATATCTTTTCCATTTCTAGTAATAGTAATTTGTGTCTTCTTTTTCTTTTTTTTTAATTAGCATGGACAGAAGTTTCTTAATTTTATTGATCTTTTCAAATAACCAGCTTTTTCTCATAGATTTTCTTTACTGATTTCTGTTTTTCAATTTTATTAATTTATACTCTAGCCTTTTTCTTCTTTTCCTTACTTTGGCTTTAATTTGTTTTTCTGTTTCTAGTTTCCTATTGTATACACTTAGACTATTAATTTCAAAGCTTTTTTCTCTAATATATGAATTATATCCCTCTAAGCACTGATTTCACTGCATCTCATAAATTTCATAAATAGTATTTTCATTTTCATTTAGTTTGAAGTAGATTTTATTTTTATAGCTCTTTTTTGATTCATGACTTATTTAGATGTGTTTTTTACACTCCAATATTTTGTGATCTTCCAGCTATCTTTCCATTATCTATATCTAGTGTAACTTCATTGTGGTCTGAGAGCGTGCTTTCTATGGTATTTATTCTTTTAAATTTATTAAGATACATTAAATAGCCCAGAATGTAGTCTCTCTTAGTCCCGGCTCTATGTGAGCTTCAGGAGAATGACTGGGCTACTGTGGAGAAGCAAAATATTATGTGGGTTAAGATTAGATACAGAGGATGATACTGCTATTCAGTTCAACTATATCTTTATTGATTTTTTTTTTTTTTTTTTTTTGCCTGCTGGGTCTGTCAATTACTATGGAGGGGTATTGAAGACTCCAACTGTAACAGTGAATTTATGTCAATTTCTTCATGCAGTTTTAACTGTTTTTTCCTCATATATTCTGATATTCTGCTGTGATGTGCTTAGATAAGAATATCATGTCTTCTTGGAGAGTAAAC